GAGAGAGAGAGAGATCCAGAGAGATCCCCTTTATCTGCCTTTTTGTTCTTCCTGAGCCCTAGGTGAACTGGATGATTCTTCGCACTGAGTTAGGGGGGTACATCTTGCTTATTTGGTCAACTGATTCCAATGCCAGTGTCTTCTAGGAACACCACCACAGAAACCAAGAATTAATCCTTTACCAGATGTGTGGGTATCCCTTAATCCAGCCAAGTTCACACCTCAAATCAACCACCACAGTCATTTCATTAATCTCTAAAAGGGTAGAAATAGTAAACAGGTTATGATGATACAATGTGAAAATCTCTTCATGAATAATAACAAAGAAAGAAAGAAAAGAGATATTGGATTTTTTTTATTTAATTAAGTTAACTAAAGTGTCATTGATCACCTGCAAAATCTGCCAGGAAGTGTGTGCATGCATATGGAGATAGGATACAGAGATAGTTCACTGTTACACACAGACCTTAGTTAGAGAGGACCCTCAGTCCATACACTGAGTGCAGGTGGTGACAATTATCAGGCTGTCTTAATTAATTTCTTTAGAAGAAATTAATTTCTTTAGAAGAAATTAATTTCTTTAGAAGAATCAATTATTAGAGTTCTAGCTTCACTTACAAAATTTGGGGGAAGAAGGTGGAATGTAATAAGGATCCTTTCCCTAGAGACAACACAACTACTAAAAAAGGTTTAAAAAAAAACAAAGCAAAACAGAAACCCAAACTGAAAGAACAGTATCAATATTTAATCACAGCAGGCTAAGGGTTGCTGAAGCTGGAGGTATTAAATGTAATTGAAACAAAGTATACAGATTCCTGATGAGGGGTGTGGGTGGTGGAAGGACTGTTCTCCCAGAGTCTACATTCCACTACCTGCTGGAATGTTGAATTGTGCCCATTTCAAACACATCAAATCAACCTCCCAGGGAGGATAGTGCACTCGGGACAGAAAGCTGCCTTAGTAGTTTCACTTCACATAACAAATCAGCTGCTTAGTCATACAGTATAGAAGCAGTTCCCTTCTACAAAATGGAGATCACAAAAGAATAATCTAGCCAGCATACTAATAAAGGGAAATAAAGGTGTCTGGGGAAACTCTTTGAAAACCTCAATGGCTAATTTGGGAATTCCAGACTTTGTGTACTAGAGACACAGTAAAGATTATTAAACAACTCTAATACAAGAGACATATTACATCGAGGATGAACTCTTATTTCTATAATTGCTACTTATCTCAGACCTTTTATTCACAATCTCAGAGAACATTTCCAAAAGCTAATGCTGTGACTATATCTGAATAGTATTATCTGAGGGCTTCCTCTTCTTATAGATGCTCTCTCTCCAACACACCGGATTAACAACCATGCCTTTCTGGGTACTGTTATTAAGCTGGTCTTTATGATCCTCTTTCCCAAACATCAAATTAATAATTTTGCCTACCATGACCTAGGAAATATGCATCTACATTTTTTATTATTTTGCTTTGTCATGCCAACCTTGTTCATAGTCTGTGCATGTGTATGAGCATAGTCTGAGTATGGGTATGTGTGTGTAAGAGATGATGGATGGATGGATGGATGGATGGATGGATGGATGGATGGATAATGTCTCAGATTTGGAACTTCCAGTTTCCTATACTGCAGGCTTAAAGCTCACTGACAACAGCCGTGTTCTTAGTACATAATCAGTACTCGACCTCACCAGCTACAAATTGTATATCTTTAGGTCAGAGTTACTCCTTTGACATGATATGATACAGAACCAACATAGAAGTACCTTGCAGATGAACAGGAGGGACATAATGACTCCCAAGACCCAAGCATAGTCGTTTACTAAACAACCCCTCTATTAGACTCAAGACACTATCAAACACAATGACAATTGGGAACAATTCCAGTACCCCCTGACATACATCTCCAGTGATGTCAAATGAATCAGGAGCAGAATTTGATTTCTCCACAACTTTTCTCTTTTCCAGAATTACAATCTGATGTGAAACTCAAGTTATGCAGCCAAAAACATGTTTTGCAATCTGCTGGACCAAAGTTATTTAAGGATTGTTTTTCCCAGGAAAAAGAAAAATTTTAAAGCAAGTATATGTATCCGTTAACACAGTTCACTACAATAAATTGAAATGTTCTTATTTCCTCTATAATAAATGAGACTCTTGGCAAGAAACAAAACTTTTTTTTCCTGTTTCTGTATTTCCCCATCTGTAAATATTTTCCCCATCTGTAAAAAATCAAGAAAAGGTAATCTGTGTATCATACATATTGTATATAGTGGCAAACAAATTAAATTGAGAATATATGTTGCGAATTTTAACTTAAAAATCAGTGAGCATTTCAAAATATGGAGCTATATATTTCTTTCATCTTTTAAGTTTGTGAGGTAATCCAATTCAATATCACAATATTGTATTTATTGAGAACCCTGGGAGACAGGGAGGGGAAGAGAGGGAGAGGGAGAGAGGAG